GAGATCCACTGCTGAGCATTTGCAGTTTTTATAGGCCAAGGTTGAGGCCTAGTCAAGAAGATGGCTCAGAGGAGCCTGACTGGAGTTTAAGGAGAGAATCTTTATCACCATTCATGAAAAGTGAAAGAGTGTATAGCTAATACCCACATCAGAGTGTATATAGAACTTCATTTTGTATTTCAATTTTGAGACTAACAGAGCTACTTTAAACACCTGAGGGAAGAGTCAGATGGCTGCCACTCAAGCACTGGGTATTACACTGGTTTTTTTTATGGTGTTAGTAGAACCAAGAACTTAGCTTTTGTTGAGGAAAGCATTTTGAAATCCATTAAGTTCACTTTAAATTGAATTATGTCCCAAGTGATTTACAGTAATCAGATAATTTGAAAATTATCCCTTTACATCAAATGGTAGGGAAACACAGCTGAGAAATGTGTCATTTATGACAGAGGACAGAGCATAAGTCAAATTTAATTTTATTTAAAAACTTGCTTTAGTATTACTTAGCTAATACTAATTTGTTTAGTTTGCTAAGTCTTAAGTTCTTTTTTTAAATTCACTTAGTATCAGCACAGACTAAAATATGTTAAAACCAAGCTTTTGAACAAATAGTATTCTCATACCCAGTGATATAAATGCATTTCTATTCTTTAGAAAGATTTTCAGGATTGAAATTACTAGGTCAGAGGGAATGAGCAGTTTGAAGCCTCCGGCTGTGCATAGCTGTCTCATTGCCTTCCTGAAACATGACTCTAATTTGTACACACAAGGAAGCATATGAGAGCGCCCATTTGTAAATATTTGCCATACTAATAGATTTTAAAAATGAAGATTGTTTTTATCAAAGCATTTCTTTAATAATTAAAAAAGCCACATTTATTGATCATTCATATTTCATCATTTGTGACTGTCTTATATTCTTTGTACATTTTTTTATTGGTTGTTCCTTGTTTTCTCATTGATTTATAAGAGCTCTTTTTTCTCCCAGTTATTCATTTGCCACTTTTTTATTAGTTTTGGTTGATAGAAGTTTAAGATTATTCTGTCATTAAAGTTTATCCAGCTTCCATTTTTTTATGCTCAGAGAATGTTTTTCAGTCCCTATATTTCATTTATCTACTTTCTTCTTACACATTTATTACTTTATTTTTAATTTCTTTTTTAAATTCTTACTAATTTTGTTACATGCTAGGAGATGGACACTTTGTGGGTTATTGCACGTTGACTCGTAGTGTGATATAATGGAAAGACCTGGGATTTCGAACACCTGGTTATTCTTGGGACTGTTATAACGTGTAACCTAATACAAGTTTGTTTTGTTTCTAAAGTTCTGTTATAATCATACATATCTGTATGTTGGCCAGCCTCAAAAACTGCCCCAAGCATTCCTACCTTCTGGTGTTTGCACCTTGTGTGGTCCGCCCCACATTGACTCAGAGATGGTCTGTGACGGAATACGATAGAGAAGTAATGGTATGGGACCTCCAAGACTTGGTCATAAAAGACATTTCAGCATTTGCCTTGGTCTCTTGGATTATATGCTCAGAAGTTACCATTGTGAGGACTCAAGAAGCCCTGTAGAAACACCTAAATGGAGAGGAGCTGAGGCCTCTTCTCAGCTCTCAGCACCAGCTTGTTAGCTGTGTACATGAGCCACTATTTAAGAGGATTTTCTAGCCCCTCTCAAATTTCTAGCCCACAGAAACTGAGCAGTAATAAATGATTATTGTTATTTTTAGTGACTAAACTTTAGGATAATTTGTTACTTAGCAGTAGATAATATAGTGTACAAGCAGTTTTTTAAAATGGCTTCAGAATATGACTGGAGTTAAATCTAAATATGTGAAACACCTTAAAAACAAGATTGTTGAAGATATTTTATTTTCTGTGGGGAAAGAAAGAGTGTATGTTTTTTGACAAATTGGTAATAGAAGGATAAATCATCTAGTCACATACCTAGCTTCAAAGAGGCTCAGATTGTTCTGTTGCCCTATTAAAACTAAGAAAGAATGTCTAAGAGGAAAGAAAAATCAGATAAAAGTTGTAAAATTATAAGTTTCCTGAGGACAGTCCTATCTTAATAACTTATTTTAAACATTTATTAAGCACCTACCTTCTGTCAGGTACTGAGGATACATCACTAAATTAGATAGACACTATTTCTGCTCTTTTGGAGACTTCAGTTTAGTTGGGGAGGTCAGGTCCCCTCCACCTCCCAAAAAATTCTGGGGATAAGTCTGTTAAATAAGTGGGGTAATGGTAGGGAGGCTTACTTTAGGCTGGTCAGTGTTTATTCTGCTTTCTCAGTATAGTGTCTGGTACACATTAGGCATTTATATACTGAATAGATGAATATGTCTGAGTTAGTTTGTTTATACTGTTAGAATAATACTGTCATTCCCCCTGCCAGTGTACATACATGCACATGTAGATGGGAAGTATTTATGTGATAGTCCTCCCAATTTTATGACTCAGAAAGGTTATATCCCAATTTTCCATGTTCAGAATTGTGAAAGACTAGATGCTGTAAACAACCTCCTGCTGCAGAGCAGAATGTCCCTGATAGAACACATTTTTGTGACAGTAACAATTTTCACAAAGAGGCAAAGTGGTTTTCATTGCCCCCTTCTTCCAAAAAAATAAAAAATAAAGGCAAGGAAAATCTTACAAACTGGAATTAGAATAGTGGATGATGCTGATAGCAGTTTTCAGGATACTGAGCTTTTGGCTAACCAGATGGGGGGCTGAGCTAGGACTCCTGTAGTCTAGACTCTTGGGGGTGCCCTCAAACCACTGACAGAATTAGAAACACACCCTGACTGTACTAAACCCCAAAGATTACTCTTAGTCTAATATCAGAGAATGAACTCATCATCAAAGATTATAAATTATAAGAAGAAGCCATTGTAAGCAGGGATTGGCAAATGTTTCTTGTAAATGGCCAAGATAGTAAATAAGCTTTGCAGGTTATATAGTCTCATCATTCGTATTCAGCTCTTCCATCGTAGTGGGAAAGCAGCCATAGAAGATATGTAAATGAATGAACATGACTGTGTTCAAATAAAACTATTCACAAAAACAGGTAAGAGGCCAGATTTGGCCTGCAACCACAGTTTGCTAACCCCTGCAATAGAGTATGGAGTAGAAGAGATATTTTAAGAGTTAATGTCTGTTTGAATACTGATGAAAAATAAATTCTTAGGTCCATTATATCCCAAGCAATATGATAAAGAGAAAGTCATGCTTTCATCAAGTGAAATACATGACACCAAAGACCAAAAAAACAGCTATAGAGAAAAAGATCATGTGAATGGATTTATAAATTAGAATTGCAGAATTAGGAGTAACAGAAGAAGATAGTGGGAAAAATATCCTCAAAGAGTTGAGAGATTATCATCAATATAAAATAGTGTGCTCAACAAATCTTTTGAAGATGAGAATGCAGACATACACAGATTAAAAAAATGAGAGAAATTACCACCAATAAACCTACATTAAATGGATTTTGGAAAGGTTATTCTTTAAGAATCTACTCAAGCTAAATATTTTAGGAACAAGAACTAAATCTCCATATTCCAGATACTTTAAATAGAGAGTGATGACAAAATGAAATAGAATGGTAGTCAGTGTAGTTTTCTTCAGATATAGATTATCAGAATCTAGGTAAAGCTGAAATTTATGCTTTTGTAGGGTTTTTTTTTTCATACTTTTGTATTTTGCCTAGTCTCTAATTGTTTTTATTAGTATTTTTGTGATGTGGAGTGGAAATGAGGTTTATGATGGTATTAAGTTTGGGGTGGGTAATCTAAAAGGTCTTCTTTTATTATATGGTTCTTAAATTTTTTGCAAAGAATTTCTGTCCAGTGATTATAGTGGTTCCAGATTTTTTTTTGTCTTTTCTTTTTTTTTTTTTAAGATTTTATTTATTTATTTGACAGAGACACAGAGAGAGAGGGAACACCAAGCAGGGGTAGTGGGAGAGGGCTTCCTGCTCTGCAGCCCGATGTGGGGCTCGATCCCAGGACCCTGGGATCATGACCTGAGCCGAAGGCAGGCATTTAACAACTGAGCCACCAGGCGCCCCTTGTCTTTTCTTTATTTGGATAATTAGTATGCTTATGCTGGACGTTGATAAATGGGGGGGGGGCACCCAAATTTGTTAAATATAGGAAAGACTAAAGTTAAGGACATAATCTAAGAAGAACTATGTTCTGTGGTTCTGAAAGCTGCAGAGAGAGCCAGTGAATATCAGACTGAAGTAATTGGCTTCATTTTGGATAGTAAAGGGATCACTAAAAACTTATTATATTTCTGTGGGATAGAAGTCAAAGCAAAATGACCTTGAGTTTAAGTAAGAACTACATATCCTAATAACAGGAAGGAAATATTTGGTCTTCTATGAAAAAGAAATAATAAACTCTTATCTTAGTACTTACCATTTATTGAGTGCTTAATGTGTGTCAAGCGTGGTGCTAAGAACTTTCTGTGTAGTTTTGCATTTGGGCCTTTTGACAGCCCTTTTTAGTTTGATGCCTTTATTATCTCCATTTTATAAGACTGGAACTGAGGCTTTATATAGTTGGACTACTTAAAGTACAACAGTTAGCTCCAGAGCTGGAATCAGTAACCAGACCACCTGACTCCCATGCAGAAATTTTGCCTTAACCACAAGTCTTATGGGCTGAGGAGCAAGTTTAGGTAATTGTTGTGTTTATTATCTGCGTGTATTTATATGTTCTCTGTGCTTTATACAGTGCAGAGGAGCAATTAAAGATGACAATGTAAGCATGGGTGAGGGGCAAGGAGTTTTTCAACTTGGCGTGAAAGGGAGTGAGCCTGATGTATAAAAGGGTCTACTGATAAAAGTGCAAATAATTCTTTCCACATGTAGCCATGAAATACTGAACTAGAGTAATTCTTGATGTGTAGTTTTGATTTCTAACACATAATTTTGTATGTGGCAAAAGCTTTTAACTTAAGTTTTGTTTTTTTTTTCCTAGTGGAAAGAGTGAAAGAACAATTAAAACTTTCTTTGGAAAACAAGAATGGCATAGTGCAAACTGGTGAATTAACAGTTGTGCTTGATGGGCTGGTGATTGAGCAAGAAAATCTAACAAACTGCAGCTCATCTCCAACCAGTAAGATAACTTTATGTGTTTTTAAAATTTGAAAGGGAAAAAAACCCAGGAAGAAGTGTATAAAAACCTGCTTTCTTTCTTTCTTGTTGTTCAGTAGAAATACAGCAAAATGGTGATGCCTTACATGAAAATGGAGACCCTTCAACAAGACCAACCTCCAGGTAGAATATTTTATTTTAGTATTTGTGGCAAGGTAATGTAACATTTTCCATATATAAAGCTTTACATTTTAACCTTAGTTTAGAGTTTGCCATAGAATTTAAAAGTTTCTGTCTAACCTTGTCATTTGTTTGAATTCTTATAAAAGTAGTTTTTAAAGAAATAACAACTTCATTGAGATATAATACACATACCAAAAGGTTTACCCTTTTAAAATAAATATTTCAGTAGATTTTGGTATAACCATCACCACTATCTAATTTCAGAAATTCTCATCACCCTCAAAAGAGACTCTACTCATGAGCTGTCTCTTCTCATTCCTCTCTCCCCCTAGCTCCTGGCAGCCACTAATTTATTTTCCATCCCAGTGGCTTTGACTGTTCTGGCCATTTCTTAGGAATAGAATCATACAATATGTCACCCTCTATTACTAGCTGTTTTTACTTAGCATAAGGTTCATCTGTGTTGTAGCATGTGTCAGTCTTCATTCTTTTTTATTGGAAATGGCTTCTTAGAATCTGCATTTAGGCATATTTTTATCAGTAAATAGGTAGACTCAGATAAGGTGGGAAAATGGGTATCTTTTTGCTATCTGAATGGGGAACTTCCTGTAGTAGATCACTATAAGATACATGCTCCACAGATTATAGTCTTTCCCCGGAAATCACCCTGCCATCTCAGAAACTCCCTAGCATTCACATTTGATGACAGTTAATAAAAGCTTTTTGGGGATGCCTGGGTGGCTCAGTCAGTTAAGTGTCTACCTTCAGCTCAGGTCATGATCCCAGGGTCCTAGGATCAAGTTCCGCATCGGGCTCCTTGCTCAGCAGGGAGCCCGCTTCTCCCTCTGCCTGCCATACCCCATGCTTGTGCTCTCTCTCTCTCTGACAAATAAATAAATAAAATCTTTTAAAAAATTAAATAGGGTGCCTGAGTGGCTCAGTCAGTTAGGCGTCTGCCTTGGGCTCAGGTCATGATCCCAGTTTCCTGGCATCGAGTCCCGCATCGGGCTCCCTGCTCAGTGGGGAGTCTGCTTCTCCCTCTCCCCTTGCTTATGCTCCCTCTCTCTCTCTCTCTGTGTAAAATAAATAAAATCTTTAAAAAAAAAAAAAAAAGAAAAGAATACTTAAAAAAAAAAACCATACTGGAGTATGACAAAGTGTTCCTTCTATTAATACTAACATCATTATTCCTAAATTGACATTAACTGATTCTTACAGAGCACTTGAACAGATAAATATATCTTCTGAATATATATTTGGCTTAAATAAATATATTTACTTAGTGTCCATATGAGAAAATTAAGAATTAAAAGGGTACAACAATTGAGTAGATTAAAATATTTTGTGTGTGGGTATATATATATCTGTAATCACATCTGTTTTTATAATTTTTGAAATACAATTTTAGATGGGTAAAGGAGCTTGAATTACCACCAATCTGAAACCTAATGTTGTTTACTGCATATAGTAAGACTTTTTTCTTTTTTAAAGATTTTATTTATTTATTTGAGAGAGAGTGAGAGAGAGCACGAGAGGCGGGATGATCAGAGGGAGAAGCAGACTCCCCACTGAGCAGGGAGCCCGATGCAGGACTCGATCCTGGGACTCCCGGATCATGACCTGAGCTGAAGGCAGTTGCTTAACCAACTGAGCCACCCAGGCACCCTAGTAAGACATTTTGAATGAAAGATTAGATCTACAGCATCAGAAGAACTTCAAATGAGTTCTTTTACTTAGACTTCTGGATCACTGATTCTTGCTGAGTGGCTGGGGAGGGCTATGCAGATCAGAAGAATCACTTGGGAGCTTCCTTCAGACTTCACGTGTCCAAATTTCCTGAAGACATCTCGTTCCAAATATACAGGTGACAAAGGAAGGGAAAGTGGCATTCATTAATTTATTCATTTTTCATCAGATACTTATTACATGCCTGTTTGGTGCCAGACACTAGTGCAAGCACTAAGAATACTATTTGGCCCTGTTCCTGTAAAATTGCATTCTGGTGGGATAAAGGTAGATCGTAAACAAGTGAAGAAATAAATTAACTAATTGGAGATAGTGCTAAGATGTATGAAGTCATTGAAATAGGACAAGGTGACAGGAATGGAAGGGAGCCTGTTTTAAAGAGAGATGTCAGGGGAATCATCTCTGAAGAAGTGCCATTTGAGCTACAATTAAAAAGCCAAAAATGTACTATCCATGCAGAGTTCTGACAGGAGAGCATTATTCTAGGTAGAGGACATAGCAAGTGCAAAGACCTTGAGTTTATTTTTAGTTAATTTACGCTCTACAAATTCATCCAACTCTAGAATATAGTATTTAACCTTTTTTTGATAATCCTGTAATCATTATAATATTACTGCCTGTATATAATAATTTATAATAAACATTTGAAGACTTTACAGCATGTTTTCATACTCAATAAAATTGATATGTAGTATATCTGCTGCAAGGTGAGCAAGGAGGAACTTGGAGAGAAATAGATTTGAGATAGATGGGCAGGGCTCAGGGACATGATCTGATTTTTATATTTATTTATTTTTATTTATTTTTTTAAGATTTTATTTATTTGGGGCGCGTGGGTGGCTCAGTCGTTAAGCGTCTGCCTTTGGCTCAGGTCATGATCCCAGGGT